GGATACCTGAGAGGAGATGCCCAGGGGTCAGTTGTACTCATGGCTAGAGATCCCAAGAAAGAAGTCTTTGCACATAAACAGTAAATGACCCAACAACCTATTAGCATGTTTCATGGTACATTTGTTCTTTTTATATAATTTTCATTTGCTTTTTTGTCCCTTAGCTGTTGTAGGAATTAATCCTGTTAACTACATTCAACAGATGGTTTCTCTTCTAATACTGACCAACACTTTAAAAAAAAAAAATCACTTTGTTGATTGCCTTGAATTTCACCTTCCATAAGTAAACACCAAATTCTGTTAAAGCAGACTTTGAGACTGCCAATTTTTTTAATGCATATATGAAAATTTTAGGTCTGAGTACAATCCAGACTCCCTCATTATGCCTATATGTTTGTGAGTTTCACAAGATTTCATAGTTGGCTGGTTGTAGTTCCAGCCCTAGAATTCAGGACTCTGCTTACTGGGCCATCTTATTTTACTACCTTTGACTGTTTCTCTTCCTATTGAAAACCTGTTGGCTTCAGAGTTCTTCATGCTCATGATTTGTTTCTTATGAGACATGGAACAGTAACTGCCTTGTTTCATCTTAGAATCCTGAAGCCTGGAAATACATTTTCATAGAAAATTTATTTTAATGATAATAAATTTCCAAAGCAAAATTGGGACTGTCGCTCAGTGTTAAGAGCTCTGGTCTATGCACATAAGCAACATTTTCTATGCTGTTTCAGGAACTTCATAGACTCCAAGTTAAAGAACTTGTGTTATATAATTTGGGATACTCTCAAGGACATGTGAACCAGTTTTTCTAGAAAAAAAAAAAAGTACAAGATTGTCCTAATTTCTTGAGGGATTAGTTCAGTTGACTTCACAGGTGCCTTTCAGACAGTCCCTGTCTGCTGATCCGTTAGTCACCATTGACTAATATCCATGTCGGTGACACACTCTCAGGAAGTTTTAAAGGCGTCTGGGTGGTACTGAATTGGATAGTCAGAAATCTGCTAATTCTTCATAGAAATTTTATATCTTAAATTTTATATCTTAACATTCTTGAAATTAGCAGCTCTATGAGAAGCCTGGTTTTTGTTGTTGCTGTTTTTTATGCTAATCTATTTTTGATGTCTCTGATTAAAAATAAAAGGGAAGAGGAGATAGAAACCACCATTTTTACTTTCAACCCCTCCAAAGGTTAAGAAACAGATGCAGGAATTGTAGTATATAGAGAAGGGCAAAGGCCTTAACCCTGACACCCGCTGTGGGTGTATTATGTTGAACATGGAAACTCACTCCCTCTGGTACGGGTTTCTCTCAGCCTCCACCTCCGCTCATCTCATTCTCATCTCTGTCTCTGGGTTGGATCAAACCCAGGGATGCTTTACCATTGAGCCACATCCCCAGCCCTTTTTTTATTTCTTATTTTGAGACAGGGTCTTGCTAAGTTGCTGAGGCTGGCTTTGAACTCATTAGCCTCCTACCTTAGCCTCACAAACTGCTGGGATTACAAGGGTGCACCACCATGCCTGGCCCCCACTTATCTCTTTAGTGTGTGGAAATTACTCCCAGACTTTGAACCCTTCTGCTCAGAATGATTTTTTAGCTAATCAAGATCACCTGCTTTTCCTTATTCACAAGTTTCTTTAAAATTCTGTTTCTTCAGAGAAGCTTCTGTTGACAAATTACAACTTTTTTTTTTTTGGTATTTTTGGGTTTTTTTGTGGATTTTGTTTGTTTGTTTGTTTGCTTGTTTTTAAACTGGGGATTGATCCTAGTTCTGAACCACATTCCCAAGTTCTTTTTATTTTTCATTTTGAGATAGGGTCTTGTTAAGTTGCTTAGGTCCTCGATAAGTGCTGAGGCTGGGTTTGAACTTGTGATCCTCCTGCCTCAGCCTCCTAAGTTGCTGAGATTACAGGCATGCACCACCATGCCTGGCTTGGTACATTTCTTGTATCACTATCTAAATTATATCTTTTATATGTCCTTCCACCTCCCTAGAATGAAAGCTTCATGTGAGCAGGGAGCTTATTAATCTTATTCACAACTATATTTCTGTTATCCAGGGTCCTGCCGGTGCTGGCTACTGGCAGGTGCATAGTAAATCTTTGAATGACTCAGTGAATGAATATCTCCCCCCTAAAACTCCTCAAGGACAGAAACCATGCTTGTTCTCCTTACAGCTTGTGGCAGCACACGTGCACTTTTATTAAAGTATGGTTTGGGCCCTCTTAAGCTCACTGCCTCACCATATCCATCTACTTTAGAGCAATCTATGGTTTCCACAGAAGCCACCTGGAACTTTCAGTGTTCTAGATAATTTGGGCAGTAGAAAACACTTTCTTTTTTTTTTTTTTTTTTTGTCAGAGACTTTAGCAATTAGTTCTGAAGTTGGGCTATGGAAACAGCCTAGCTCACTGCCTCACCATATCCATCTACTTTAGAGCAATCTATGGTTTCCACAGAAGCCACCTGGAACTTTCAGTGTTCTAGATAATTTGGGCAG